TGTGGTGGGAGGAGTGGGATCGAGGATTCCCAGAGCGGGTCCGGGACTGGGTGGCGGCTCGGCCGGGGGTCCGCAGGGCTGCCGGCGATGGAGATGAACTTGGTTCTGCGCTAGAATAACCTTAAACCTAACTCTCCTCTCCATATCCATGGCCAATTTATCCCCATCCATTCTCACACCAGCAGCATCCTTTAGCTTAAATAGCTCTTCTCTCCCCCCTGGTGATGTATTTATAGCGTGATCCCATCCCTTCCCCACTCCCGCTTTGCCAGGCTGACCGTGCCACGTGCAGGCTCTTGCATAAGCAACCCCCATCTCTGCCCATCCATCCCGGCGCGGGAGCCGGCTGTTATCACGCTGTTCTCGCCTCCCTGTGATTTGTAGCTCTGCGATTTCCTGGGGCAAGATGCATCTCCAGGGTCGGTGGCGTTTTATTCATTCACAGCAGTTTCTAAAGCCATAATCTGCCCGAGATGATTGATTTGGTTCTGCCGGGGTGTGGGGAGTCGGGCTGTAGGTGAGCAAGGGGTGAGGTTTCCGGCTTGCCGAATTATTCACCTGTGTGCAATGCTCGTGCCGGCTGTGGAGGAAGCAGCGATGACGGCAGAACGAGTCCGAGCTCTGACGGCGTGGGTGTACCAGGGCAGGCAGCACCGGGGAAAAGGGCTTCAATGCACATCAGCGGGTGCTGCAAACCAGCCATGCCGTCCCGGCCTCGGCGGCTGCCGGGCTGTACATCAGCACGTGGTTGTGCCGGCTGCGGTGGGTGACTCAGCCGTCACCTGGGTCGTCCCCAACTTACCCTGCAGGAAATGAGTCAGGTGTTAAGGAAGAAAAATGTTAAAATGATGGGGCAAGAGTCCTTCCTGCATGGGGAGGAGGGCGGCGCCGGTCCCAGGAGGGAGACGGGGAAGGAAGGTCGCGGGCAATGCTCAGGTATGGAGACCTCGCTCGCCTCTGACGCTGCCCGTCACGCTGTAGCTTCTCCCCAGAGTTTGGGGGACGGTGGGAACACCTTGTAACTCATCCCACCAACAAAACCCGGGGCGTGAGCTCAGCTCTTGCCTGCCCTGGCACCCAGGAGCTCCTCTCGGTCTTGCCGTTGGCCGGAGATGCTCTTCCTCCTCCCAAAAGGCTGCGTGGGGAGGAGAGGGGACAGGGACTGATCCAGGGCATGGGCTGAGCTATGTGTGTGCCTCTTCCCCCTGCAGAGATGGACACCTTCAGCACCAAGAACCTGGCCCTGCAGGCCCAGAAGAAGCTCTTGAGCAAGATGGCTACCAAGACCATAGCCAACGTCTTCATTGATGACACCAGCAGCGAGATCTTGGATGAGCTCTACCGGGCCACCAAGGAGTACACCCACAACCGCAAAGAGGCCCAGAAGATCATCAAAAACCTCATCAAGATCGTCATGAAGTTGGGCATGCTCTACCGCAACGGGCAGTTCAACCCCGAGGAGCTGCTGGTGATGGAGCGGTTCCGCAAGAAGGTGCATACCTTGGCCATGACGGCCGTCAGCTTCCACCAGATAGACTTCACCTTCGACCGCCGGGTCATGTCGAGTGTCCTCACGGAGTGCCGGGACCTGCTGCACCAGGCTGTCAACGGCCACCTGACGGCCAAATCCCACTCCCGCATCAACCACGTCTTCAATCACTTTGCAGACTATGAGTTCCTCTCGGCTCTCTACGGGCCATCTGAGCCCTACCGCACCCACCTGAAGAGGATCTGCGAAGGGGTTAACAAGATGCTGGAGGAGGACAACATATGAAGTTGGCCAAGATGGGCCATTGGCAGCGACTGCCGGACTCTGCCTCCTGTGAGACCGAGGACAGGACGTACGCCTGTTCTGACCATCACCAGGCTTGATGTCCTCTTCTCCTCTGTTGTGCTAACTCATTTTCTCCTCGTTTCTACAAAAGACTGAACCTCTTGACTTTGTCTAACCCTTGCCTGGGGTCTGCAAACCCACCCTGTGCTGGACTGAGTCCTTCTTCTGGGTGCTCCTGGGCTCCTGCTGTACAGTTTGATTTCCTTTGCCCACCAAGTGCTCTTAGCTCAGAGTCCGAGGAACTGGACTCCTCACCTTGAACTCTATCGTAACCCTCCTGGGGGAAAACCGAACCAAAGACTCAGGGTGTGAAACACCTCTAGGGTGTCTCTGAGCAGGTGGGCAGTTGGTTGGATGAACGGTTGTGAGACCCTATTACCAGAGGGTTGTAGAGCCCCATGGTTGTCTTTCAGCAGCTCCATGACATGGTGGGAGCAAATCATGGTCCAGACTTGTGCTGCCCAGGGTAGGAAGGTGCTTCTGCACCTTGGAGGCTAGCGTGGGCTTTGGCCTCCTAAAAGACAAGCCCTTGAGACCAGAAGGATCCCACCTCGCCTGGGCGAGCGGCTGGCCCTTGGGGCAGGGAGGGAGCTGGAGGGACCCGGTCTGTCCCTGCATCCCAGGTACAGCCCTTCATCCAAGACCCAACTGCCCCACCAGCCTCCTGCGACAGTACCACTGTGATGGCTCCGACGCCTTCCTCGGTGGTTGTGCAAAGCTTTTCCTAGGATTTCAGACCTTTTACGTGTCCTCGACTGAGTTATGGTTGTTATTTTTTAGCAAACTCTGTAGCCCTGATGAGTTATTTAAATAAACTCACCTGTTTGGCCTGGGTGCTCCATGCGGTTGATACAAAGGCAGTTGACAGTGATAAAATGCGTGCCGGGGGCAGTCGGTTTTGTCTTTTAAATGGTGATTGCTCTCTGCGACCTGGGGTTTTTAATCTCCATCCCCTGGCATCGCTACCGGCCAGCCTGCCTCTGCTCCGTGGCACAGCAGCTCCGGGCTTTGCACAGCCAGCGCTGAAGCGGTGGGAGGAAACGTGGTGCAAAACCCCCCGCGCAAACCCATAGCAAAGGTCTGGGGTCCTGGGGGGAGCAAATCCTGCTCCCATACACACTCACACGTGCTCCTCTGCATCCCTGCATCCCCTCGCTGCACAGGAGCTAAAAAAGCACAGCCCTGATAGCAGAAAGCAAGGGGCAACTTTGCAGAATTTAATACAGGCGTGTTGTAAAAGCGTCGTGCTCTCAGAGCATGGATGCCCCAGCCGTGGCCTGCTTCCAACGCGCTGATCTCGGCTTTGAACACCGAAAATTGCCCTTTTAGCATACAAGATGCTGCACAATCACAGCCGGCCTTATCTCCGCAACCTTCTTGTGCCTCCTGTTCCATGGGATGTCTCCAGGCACAGGAGGCTGCCAACGCTCGTGGGCAGAGAGCGGCTCCACAGCTCCTGTTCGCTGCTCCCTTTCCACCGCTGGCTCGAGGCACTGATAACTTTCAGCCTTAAAGATTAAATAAAAAAAAATAAAGTCCCTATCTCTGTCATTTCACAGGCCTGGCTCCAGCTATCACAGCTAATTTAATTGCGCGACGCAGCTCGGGGTGGGGGGTGAAGCACATTTACAGGTGTGCGTGGAGGAGAACGCGGCCAAGAGCCACCGAGGTGTTGGTCCCTCGGGGAGGGCAGGGTGAAGTCGGCCTTTGGCACGCGGCATTTGAGAGCAGCCGTTCCCGTCCCCCCGGGCTGGCGGCAGCTGTCAGGTATGTGCTGAAGAGGAGCCGGAGCTGGAAACGGCTCAGCGGAGCTATCGGCAGATGCGGCAAGCAGGCAAAGCGGAACGGGGCTGATGGATGCGGTGGTGGCGGCTGCTGCGCTGACAGCCAGAAACGCTTCGCTGTTCTGTTCTCGAGGTGTGTGTCGGCACCAGCTGCAAGATGCTCCTTAATTGCATGAAACATCGCTGCTCAGATGAGCCCCGACTCACGGCTGTTCCCTTTGTCCCCAGGGTTTCATACAGGCCAGGACCACACTTAACCCACCAAATGCATGGCACCAGCTTTCCTGGCATACAGGTGTCTAAGCCGAAACTTCTCCCCCAACCGAACACCCACCTCGTCCCCAAACTCCTGCCTTTTTGTCCCGGGGAAGCCCTGGAGAGCACACTCTCTGCTAGAAGAGCCATCTCGTGGCCTGGGTTTCCCATCCCAACCCTGGCTGTACAAGTCTGGGAAATGAGTCCCTTCAACCCCCTTTGGTCCGGTTCCCTCCAAGCAACTGGTTACAGAGGGAGAAAGGTCAGACCTGCAACATCAGCGCCCTAAATGCGGCTCGGAGCTCAGGTAGGAGCACACTGGGGACACTCCTGGGCCCCACAGGTTATCTGCAGATCCAGAAGGAGCCGCACAGCAGAAAAAGAAGCATTTAGGAACAGCCTGGAAAACAGAGCTTGTAAAATCCCCAATGCAAAGCACCTCAGACTGCCAAAAACCAGGAAACTCCCCCCAAAATGGGCAAAGCAGCTACCGACGACCACAACCATCACGGGGCATCAAAAGCACTCGTCGCGACAGTGCTGGCTTACGCAAACTTACAGCTGGAGTCTCGTTCTCCCGTGCTGGGGCTCCTCTTGGGTGGGCAGAAGCCCCCTAAACCCTCTGCAGCCTCCAAACTCCCGTGTGACATCTTGGCTCCTCCTGGCCAAGCAAACACCGGAGGTCACGCCGCTCGCTGGGCATCCAGTTGGAAGGGGCAGGAGTCACAGAGCAGAGCAAGCTCAGGCCAGAGCACGATGCTTTATTTCTTTATTTGTGTTGTATTTACACAGGAAAGGAATTCCACATTCCCTCACTGTTATTACTCTAGATAAGAAAAAAATCACTTCTGTACGTAGAAAATAGTCCTGCAGTTGTACTGAGACACGATTGATTCCTGGGTTGTGTCAGAATAAGCAGCTCTGCCTTCGCCATGCCAAGTTATCCCAACCCACGCTCTGCCCTAGGGCAGGTCCAGAACACCCTCCCCAGCAAAGCCCGCGGTCGTCTTCGGCAGCCGCGCTCAACGAGGAGTCAGGTAGCTTTGGCCAACTCTACCCCTTCCTTCCCCCCACCCCCAATTTAATTATTTCCTCCTGTCATGCTTGCGGAGAGAGAAATCCTGTCTCCCCTCCAGAGACTACGGAGTTAACAACTTTCTTTTAGCAAACCCTGTTTAAATCCAGCCACTTATCTTTCTGCATTGCTCTCCCTAGCAAGGGAGATAAGGAGCCCCGGTTCGAGGGGAGCTTTGCCATATTCAGCAGATCAACCAAGCAGAAAGTGGGCGACAGAATGGCTGGCTGCAGATCAGGAGTCTCAGAGGAGGTTTCCAGCTGCAAAGCACATTGTTACTCTGACACAAGACAGAATGCATCTGTCTTAACACCTCCAAGTCCCACTTGTGTTGGACCCTAGCACATTTCAATATGGAAAACATAAAAAGGTTTGGCCAACCAAAAAAACCCCGCCGTTAACAAGTAATCCTCTTTATCTGCCATGCTCTTCTGGCCAAAACGCCCTGCCCGACACCGGCCTTAGGGTCACAGCTCGTCACGGGGTGTTTTTGCTACAATCATGAGTTTGGACAGTTCAAAACGGAACTTGCCTTCCCTGTGAGACACTAGAAAGAGAGAAAACAAGCACAGGATAAACAGATGGTAAGGCATGAACAAAACAGCCCTGCTGGTTCCTTTCCAGGACGATAAAGCCAGCAAGTCGGGCATTGCACTTCCTTTTTCTGCACGCGACAAGCATGTTGCGATAAACCCGTTCTTCCCCCATGCTAATTTAACATTTACGCTGGAACGGGACCCACAAAATCCTGCTGCCAGCTATGGATCAAGAGCACTCTACCCCCGACTCCGTAACACGCACTGTCCTATACGTTGTCACCTATCTGCATTAAGCTTAAGTACTTGTCTCCTGGTAGACAGCCAGGCTCGTCTCCCACACCAGCCCCTTTCTCACGTAGTTCTCTCGGTCACAGACCTGTTGTTTCGGTGATTTCAAATTCTTCCTGTTTTAAGGGGACGTCGCTTTGTCCACCCGCTGCAGCTTGAGACTGAAACGGGAAGGAAGAAGGTTTAAGCAGCTGAGGCAATCCAAGAAGCTGCCGTATTTAAAGCAAGCAAGCAAGCAAACAAACAGCACTTTCTGAAGAATGAACTTGTGTTTTAATAATGTGGGGCGAAAGAATAAAAACCACAACGGAAATCTGAAGGAAAATCTCTGGCTCTTTTTCCATTTCCTATTAAACCACAAACTTGTGTCCTTCGGGTGACTGAAAGCCTCACCACTGAAGACTGGGAAATGGAAAAATAACCAAACAAAACCACCAGCAGAGGTTTTATTTACTTTGTCACATGCAATTTGTTGAGGCAAACCGAGACTCCCCTTGTGCAGTGTGCCCTGGCAGGCTGGTGTCTTTTGGAATCACCGACGCTGGCAAAGCCAGCAGCACCGCGATGGCGTTGAGGGAGCAGAAATAAAATGGCGCAGGAGAGCCTACCTGCGGCTTCTCTCCTGACTGCCACCACGCTCTAATTAGGGACGTGACGGAGTGCATTTTATTGGACAGATATCTAATAAATGGTTTCCATGTCCAATTCACGTGTTATAGCAGCCTCCCACACACCTGCTTCCAAGCGATCAGCTGGGACTTACATAAGCCATGGCATACTCTATCTTGGCTCCCGTCACTTCAGCTTTAAACTGGGTAAAGAAGAGATAAGACTTCCCTTGGGGCCTGAAACAAGAGAGTAGAGTCTTTGACATGGGCAGAGAGGGTGGAGGTGCAGAAGAGCTCAGGATTCATGGCTCCCTCCCTCCACAGCCACCTCTGGCTCTCTTGTAGCTCCACACAGCGCAGAGGGGGGAAGAGAGGAACACGGCATTTATCAAACACCGCCTGGCTAAAGAGCCCACCCAGAGTCACAGCATCTCTCGGGAGAGGAAAGCCCTCTGGTGCTGCCCTGCAGAGGCAAACCCTGCTGGGAGGCAGGGTCCCCGGCCACTGGCAGGGTCCCTGGCCCAGATCCCACCTGCCTTGTTGTCCCTTTTGCCTCAGAGAGTTTGGGGTTAAAGAACACACCTCCAGACAGAGCAGGAGAAGAGCAGGTTGTCTTCACTGACTCCAATGTTCATCTGCCATTGCTGCAGAGGGGAAAGGCCCAAAGAGTTAACGCGGGTAAGAGCCTCCGACTTCCCGCTCACCCCCGAGGCCAGTCACCTCCCCTCTCCGCTGCAGGCATGGCAAGTTTCGACCATTCCAAAATAACACAACTTAACTACGCAACGCTTGCTGATGGCCCCTTTTACTTTGCGTTGCACAAAGCTCAAGGCCTGGTTGCCCTCTCTTCTCCACGATTTCATTAGTACAGTTAATGAAAGAGTCTCATTTCTCTTTGCACTAAAAGAGAAGGACACAATTCTAACAGGACTTGCAGATAAGAAAGTACAAACTGTGTATCTGCACGGCGCTTACTGCAGCAGCAACACGAGCCGCAAAAACTTCCAAGCCTCCTAAAGAACACGGGATTTACTCCTACGAGGTCCTTCCTACCAACCAGGGTATGAAAATGTCACTCCCTCTTCTCCAGAGACATCCAGCCCAGAGATTTGTTAAGCCTTACAAATGTCACGGCCTCGCGAACCGCAGCATCATTGCAACACACGAAGGACGCTTCCATTCGGGGAGCAAATCCAATAAGTTACTTTTGCAAACATGCAGCCTTGCAAACGGTGCCACCACCCTTCCTCACAGCTCCCGGTCCCTGGAATCAGCTCATCACAAACGAAATCGTCCTGAACAGCTTCTCACTCTGTGCAGCTGTAAAGACTGAGTGTAAGGGAAACACTTGAAGCTTTGCCCAACTCACCTCGTTCGTTCCTCCCTGAGCTGAGTATGTGAAAGTGCAGGTGTAATCCCCCTGGAAGAAGAGAAGAAGACGATGAGCAGCCTTGCTCGAGCAGGACCTTCTCTTTGTTCACCATCAGCCACTTCTTGGCGATGACGCCAGGAAAAAATTTTTCACGCTGAGGGTGGTGAGACACTGGAAGGGGTTGCCCAGAGAGGTGGTGGATGCCCCATCCTTGGAAACATTCAAGGCCAGGCTGGACGGGGCTCTGAGCAACCCGATCGGGTGGAAGGCATCCCTGCCCATTGCAGGGGGATGGACTGGATGGCCTTTAAATGTCCCTTCTGTCCCAAAGCGTTCTGTGATTCTGTGATCTGGGGACACCTGACAGAATTACCGGGGCTGCGGCACGGTGCAGCCCCCGGCGGTCTCACCCTGGGGTGACCGAGGAGGAGCACGCAGAACGGCCGTGTCCGCACCCTGTCGGAGCGCAGACAGCGCCAGGGACCTTGCAGCCCTCATCCCCCGTGGGGGGCCAGCAGGACCCCGTGGGGCTGGGGTGGGGACCCGTGTTCTAGGGGCCCCCTTCTCCATAGGGCCCCTCCCCTTCCTGTGCCTCCTTCCCACGGGGACCCTCTTTCTTCGAGACCCCCTTCCCCCTGGCGACCCCTCCCTCCCCTTGGGGTACCTCCTCCCCCGGGGACCCCCTTCTCCTCGGGGGCCATTCTCCACGGCAAGCCTCCCTCCCTGGGGACCTCCTCGACACAGAGATTGCCCCACCTTGGGGAGCCATTTTCCTTGGGGACCTTCTTCTGCTGGAGACCCCCCCTTTTGGCGACCCCCTTCTCCTAGGGGACCCCGTCCCTCCTTGGGGACCCCCCCTCTCCCTGGGAGCCTCCTGCCTTTGGAGACCCCCCCTTGGGGACCCCTCTCCCCCGGGGACTCCCTCCCCTGCCCCCGTCAGAGCCCGGATCCCCCCCCATCTCGTCCCGCCTTCCCTCACTGGCTGGCACGC